AAGAAAGAAAGAAAGAAAGAAAGAAAGAAAGAAAGAAAGAAAGAAAGAAAGAAAGAAAGAAAGAAAGCCTCTGCACAGTAGATGGAGATGATAGCAATAGTTACTGTTTTCTATTTAAACTGCTCCGCTGCCATCTAGCTGCTTCACCATTTTAGCTCTACTTTCAGAATTGTAAGTCTTGCATCAATATTAGAAATTGCCCTTTCTTTAAAAAAAAAAAGTTGCTTTCCCTCTGGAGGCAGCTCAACAGAGTCATATAGTCTCATGTTGTTTATGTTTCTGCTAATCTGAGGAGGCTTTCAAAGATGTGGTTCAGCATTTGTTTTACTGTCTTACAATTTTGAGAATGTCCAGAGCTTTAAAAACAGATTGTGCCCCTGTTTGTACTTCACAAGCCTTTAAAAAATGGTGTTTAACTTTTGACTGTTTGACAGTCCACTGGCATTCCCTATAATCCACAAGGATAGGCAATTAGGGAGCAATCCCATCAGACCCGAAAGGCATAGACACCTAAAATTACAAAATGGAGATTGTAGACTCTCATCTCATCATATATTAAAGTATGTCTTATACCTCTAATTTAAAATAAAAAAATCTACTAACTAAACTATAAAAGGAATTGGATGTTTTTTTTCTGGGAGCTTTGTTTAGGTTTCCATGAGACAATGATCCACCTTTGTGAGTACGTGGCCAGCTAATTAACCTTATGACAGACTAGTCCCAGATCAAACACATCCCTGCCATGATGACAATGGACCAAACTTCTGAAACTGCAAGCCAGCCCCAATTAAATGTTTTCCTTTATAAGAGTTGCCACGGTCATGGTGTCTCTTCACAGCAAAAGAACACTGAGCAAGACAACAAGCAAAACAAGCCAGGAAATATACTATGACAGCCTGAGTTATCAGAATTGTGTGGCATCTCTTCTGGGAAGATAAGTGCCTGCTGTGGCTGGCACTGGAGTTTCAGCCTTCCCCTTCACCCAGCATGGAATTCCTGGGAGATTAATTGTTTTTGGGCCCATCGTTTCAATAGCTTAATAACAGGAGGTGTTTCTCTTTGAAAGATCTTCTCTCCTGGTTACAGCATGCACTGATTGCTTACTCTGAGCTGCAGTGACCATGCCCCCCCTTCCTCTCCACTCTCGGGTCACGTGGTGCAAATTGGTTGACTGGACTAAGTCAATTTCTGGAAGGGCAGCCAGGCCCTCGGGTTATAGCAGTGCATGGCACAGTTACATGGCATGGTTGTCACATGGCCAGTCTCACAGTCAGCCCCAGGCTCTCTCCCTTAGTCTGAAGCATCTCTGATAACTTTAGAACCAAGTGTTCCTACATCTTCCCACCTCTGCAACCAGCTTGTATCGAGAAAAAGACCCAGAGGAGCAGCCAGTGCTGCACACACAGCCTGTGACCTTCCTGCTGGCCTCAGCTGACTCTACTAAGTCCTCCACCATCCTCCTTTTAAGTCCTCAAGGTAGGCATGGGCTCAACCTACCATTCATACATGGTAAACAGAGGCACCCAGGTCAGCTCCTATGGACAGAGATAAAAGAACAAAGGCTTTGCTCTGTGTCTCAGTACCTAGTATGCCCACAGTTTGTGATAGGAAGGGCTAGGATGGTGACTTTGGCCTTGACCTCTTGCCTTTCCCTGTGCTCTGTCTATAGAGAGGTGAGAAGCTATCTTGGGCAACCTAACCTCCTGCCAGACACCTGATCTGCCTCAGGGATCCTTCTTAGAATTACCCACTCTGAGGCAGAGACCTTGCCATGGAACTGGTGGCTCTATGAACATCCAAGCCTCCAGAAACCTTAGAGAAGAAAGGAGTCTCTCTTAGCTCTGGATTTTCAGAGTTAAATTTCGGAGTATGCTCTGGGTCCTCAACCCTCTTCCTTTTAGGACACCCTCCTCCACAGGCACACTCTGACCTTGATCCCTTGGTGAGAACTCCTAAAACTCCTGGGATAGGAGTGAACTATAGAACTCCTCTGTCTCTTTTTGTTCTCTTTGGGGACCATGGGCCTTGGCTAGTCCTAACTGTTGGCACTTTGCTAAACCCACCCTCTACTTCCCCCATGAACTGCCCTGAGGTTGTATCTGAGCATTCTCCATGATACATTTGCATTTATTACACTTACACTACCAGAAAAAGGGGCCTGCTGTCCTCTGTGCCTAGTCCTGAGCAGCAGCCAAGGGCTTGTGCTCAGAAGAGCCACTGCTGTTATTGCAGTTGGAGAGGATGGGGCAGAGAAAGCCAAATGAGACTTTTGCCCAAAGTTCCCAGAATCTTGTGCCTACCAGAGAAAGTAGGGAGGTGGGAGAACATTTATTAGAGATTTTAAGCACACACTCGAGAGCTAGTGTGAGCGTCTCAGAAAAGTTCCATCTCCTCTCCAGGACTTTAGAGAGCTCATTTTATGGATAAAGTACAGGGTAGGGTTGTTCAAGGGGGGGAGAGGTATTGCAGAAAGGGGGAATTCTAGGAATGGGTATGAATTTTCCTGGAAAAACTTTACTCTCCATTTCTTCCCTTGTATGGAATCTTCAGTTGTGGTATGGAATCAGCTGCCTGGTAAAAGAAGGCAGTTTTGCAAAGCTAATGACATGGAGGTACTGTTAAAGCAGAGGATCAGCCATGTTGGTCCAGCTGGGTTCGGTGTCTTGCTATACTATAGCTTTACAATGTACTCAGCTCTCAGCCACTGTGGGATTTGGCCCCCCTTTGGTTTACTGTACATGTCAAGCCTAACTCAGTACCCTACCAGCACACAGAGTACATGACAGAAGCTAGAGGCTTGTCTGTCTCTACCTTGTTCTGATCTGCTTTGTGGCCTTAAGCAAGTTACTCAACTGCTCTCAACCTTTCATTTGTCATTTTTAAAATAGAGCAAGATGCCTGGCCCAGGGGTAAAGGCTGTGAATGCCTAAAGCCCCATTGTTGTGTCACAGGCTCAAGATGAGCAGCAATTCCCACATAACATTAAGGAAAGAGGAAGGAAGGAAGGAAGGAAGGGAGGGAGGGAGGAAGGAAGGAAAAAGGAACAAATGAAGGTAGATCTATGCTCAAGTGGTCTACAGTATGAAAGCTGGGATAAAAGGAGGACATCAGAAGTATGTGCCATCTGGGAAGCCTGGCAGAGAATTGATTAGGTTTTATCACAGCTGCTCTATGCTCTGGCCATGTGTCAGAGGGAAAGATCTATCCTCTTTGGTCAGTAGTGTGTCTGGAAATTAAATGAGAGCTGGTGGAAGGCACTCTTGATGCTATGAAGCATGGCAATCCTTCATCTGACCCCCTTTCTGGGTAACCTCATGTTCACATCTCTCACTATGCCTCAGCTTCCTCTTTGTAAAATGAGGGTGTGGCACTTACCCTTAAAGTCACCAATGCAGATGTAAAAGGATCTGAAAACACAGGCTCTTAACCCAGACAGCCTGATGTGGGGTTAGGTTCTGTCATTTTGCCTGCTCACTGACTTGTGATGGCTTGTGTTAATTATACTTGAAATACTTGAACATTAATTAATTTTGGTGAGTTATTTAACTAATTGTTATTAATTAATTTTTAGTTAATTAATACTTGAAAAGTCTAAAATCACTTGGGATAGGAGTTTCGGTGGGGAATTGTCTAGATTTAGGTTGACCCATTTGTTTGCCTGTGGAGATTATCTTGATTATGTTAATTTAGGTCATCCACTGTGGGTGGCACCATTCCATAGGCAGGAGATTCTGGAACGGTTAAGGATGGAGAAACAGGTGAACATTAACATGTGTGCATCTACTGGTCCTTCCTTGTGATGGTGCATGCCATGTGGTCAGCTGCTTCAAGTTCCGATTGCCTGGACATTTCTACCATGATGGACTGTACTTTGAATTGTGAACTACAATAAACATTGTCAACATTAAATTGTTTTTGTCAGAGTGTTTTATCACAGCAACAGAAAGGTGACTAAAACACTGACCTTGAACATGAGCCTTGACCTCTCTGGGCCTTGGCTTCCTCATCAATAGATGGAGGGCACTGTTCTGTTCCCCCACAGAACAGTGTCAAGAAAGCAGAGTTCAGACCCATGACAATTCAAGACAGTACAAGTTGAGTGGACAGAAACTTGCATACCGTTACTTTTCAGATTTCCATTTTCAATGATTATATCTTGATACATTTTCTGTTATCAATTAGATAGACTGGGTAAGGTATCATAAAAGTGATTAATATTGGCAATTACAGCTCTGCTTCATGGACAAGTGCTCTTCTCACAAGCACTTTTTGTGATGTAAGTCATGAAACAGCGAGAGATTGGGAATGTACCTGTATCATCTCTGTCTTGCTTCTTTCACTACGTAGTCATTAATGTTCAATAATGGTTCTGCCCTGCTGACCCTGTCTAATTCCAATACCCCTTCAGGCCCCAATTCTAAACATGATAGTTAGATTAAGTCTATTTATCTCCAAATAGCTCATGCTACAGATTAGACTCTAAGGCGTTTTTGAAGGAGAAAACCACATTCATTAGAGCAAATGGTGTTGTGCAGAATAACTGGAACAGTCGAGCACATGAATGTTACGTGTAGAAATTATCAGAGGCCCTGACTTAGGACTTGTGTCCCATCTCTGTCATGCAGGACAATGCCATCCTCCGTCTCCCAGGGATTCCTTTTGCTAGCAGGCCTGTGCTGCCTTTTCTCTGGCTCCCAGCCTCAAGATCCCCTGGAGATGGATGTGGATAAACACGACCATGAACATCAGGAGCCTCTTAGCTGCCAACGCATTGTCTACAGCATCATCCAGTTGACCTTCACCTTGTATCGGAAGTCTGGTAGTTGGGCAAAAGATACCAACATCATATTCTCTCCAGGGAATATTGATGCTGCCTCTTTAATGCTCTTGCTGGGGGCAAAAACCAACATGCACAACCAGATCCTGGAAGGACTGGACTTCAACCTTACAGAAACACCTGAGCAGTATATCCACAAATGCTTCCAGCAACTTACGTATATCCTCCATCTGCCAGACCACAAGTCACAGCTGACAATGCAGAGCAGCCTATCCACTGCCCAGAGTCTGAAGCTTACAGACAAGTTTGTGAAGAATGTCAAGGGTTTGTACTACTCAACAGCCATTACTGTCAACTTCAGTGACACGCAAAGAACCCAAAATCAGATCAACGAGTACGTACAGGGTGAAACCCAAGGGAAAATAGTGGGATTGATCAAGGATCTGAAGACAGACACAGCTTTTGCCTTGATAAATTACATCTTCTTCCAAGGTAAGGTGGGACCACCAGGTTTAGGCAGCCCCCAGGAAGCCCAAATGTGTGTTTCAGTAATTAATCCTTCCTTGACATACCAAAATATAGGAGGGCAGAGCATCTCAATATGCTCTTCAGTTCTTCAGTCAGAAATAATTCAATAGCACCTATAAACCTATAAAGTTGGGAATAAAGACTTAAAGCCAGTCAGACCACCATCACCTCCGAGTTAGAGCCATCATTGTCTTAATGATACCAGAATCCACCACTCACAACTTTACTGGAACACTAAGAGATGGGGATTGATAAAAAGAAATGGCCTAGCCCTCTTTTTTTTTTTAGATCAGTTTGCATCAAAACTAGGGGGAGAAAGCTTCTCTTTCTGCTTTGCTTGTAGTAGTGCTGATATTTATAATAATGATGGTACAAAATCCAAAAAACTACACATGCACACAGTTAGCTCTGCGGTAACTATCAGAACCTTGACACTGACTCTTTTCCTGGAACATGGTTCTTTTTAAACTGCCAGGGCTATGGGTTAGTCTCCCTCCCAGCATGGGGTGTCCTAGAGATTTTTTTTAATCCCTTAGTGTCCCATGCACACAGCAACAACTCTTCCTTGCTCATTCTTCAGCAAGGGACTTAAGGGACTTGGGATGTTATCCCATGTATTGTTAGACTTGAGCAGAAATCCCCTAGATATACATGTATTTAAATGTAATCTTTGGCTGAATACTACTAGGAACCAAAGTTCTAGCACCATTCAGGGCAACCTTTTCTTAGACCCACTTGTTACACAAGTGACTCTCTTTTGGATGTTGGGGTTTTTGTTTGTTTGATTTGATTTGATTTTAAACAGGGTCTCTCTGTGTCACCCAGGCTGATCTGAAACTCATGATCCTTTGAGTTGGTGTACCATCAGGTCAGTCATGGCTCTATTTTTATTCTAACAATTTCTCTCTCCTTGTCTCCATACAATTTGCTCTGAACACTTGGCTGATTGATAATGCTGTGGTTTGGTCTCATTTGCCGTAGCTGTCACTGCCAAGGTGATATCTTCCCCAGTTTGTCTGATCTGATCCTGCAATGAGGAGAATGTATAAGGAAACCAAAGAGTCAATTCCAGGTGACATTTTTGGCTAAAATCATTTGTCTGAGTCCTTCAGAAGTCCATTTTTAATTTAATTTAAGCTTACTCACTCTGGAGTTGCTGGACCAGGCTCTCAGAATACTTCCTGTTTTAGGGCGTTTTTGTTATAAGCTGTTTTCCTATAGAATGGCCATAGTTTTCTGAGGAATTACAAACTAACCCTGAAGAAAGTTTAGCAATTTCTAAAATGATCTATTCTTTATTACATACAGTATTACATCAGGACTTCCCAGGTAACCAGTGTCCAATTGTTTAGGGAGACTTCTGGGAATGCAGTGCTCAGGTGAATTATCAGTGTACCAAACAGTGATCAAAGTAGAACCAGGAACATGTATATGTAAGACAGAAAAGGCTGTCATTACGACAAGTTTTAATTTGAATGAGTAGATTAGTAAAGTGTTTTCCTAAGCCTTGAGTCTTTGGAACCTTCCATGTTGGTAGAACAGAAAGTCACAGAGGGTCCGGCAATAATCAGTGATTTTAATACTAATTTAGCTTTTATTTTTGAAGTGAAGTTTAACATCTTTAAAGTTTTAGACTTCAGACAGGATTAGAAAGCAGAATGAATGGCCTTGATAGATTTTCATTCAAGTATGAATGTATGTTTCCTGTAAACAACAGCAGAACTGCTGACTGAGCTGAAGCAAATGGATGCCGATAAGGGTTTTAAAACAAACCACTTGAATTATGGGGCCTTCTATATGAATGGTACTGAACTCAGATGGTAAAAATACCAAGAGCCTTATTGACCATCTTGTGGGTTTAAGGTACAGGGGTAGCACAGTGTAGAAAAGACAGTACTGGCTGATTATCTTGCATAGATTAACCTTGAACTTTTACAAATTTTGCATAATATTTAGACAAAGCTTATATAGTTAACATATTAAGCCCTTAGACACAAATACATGGATGGATGGAGAGATAGATAGATAGATAGATAGATAGATAGATAGATAGATAGATGATAGCTATATAGGTAGGTAGGTAGGTAGATAGATAGATAGATAGATAGATAGATAGATTATTAGATAGATGATAGATAGATACATAGATAGATAGATGATTTCTGATTACAGACATCTCTAGGCCAAATATAATACAATAACTTTAACAATAGATGTATTTTAACCAGCATTATAAGGTAATCATTTAAAAGACACTAAAACAGACAGATTCTTTTTAGGTCCTTGTTTTTCCTCAGTAATAAAAATCTAACATATAAAAGGAGCCATGGGCTGGCATGGCTCAGTGGGCAAAGCTCTGCAGTGAGGACCTGCATTTGGATTCTTAGCACTCATGTAAAAGTTTGGACATAGTGGTAACTGACCATAACCCCAGCAAAGGAAGGTGGAGATAAAATAATTGCAGGTGTCTTGGTGGTCAGTCTGGATGAACCAGCAAACTCCAGGTTCGGTGTGAGACCCTGTCTCAAAAATTAAGGTGGAAGGACTGGACGGATGGCTGAACAGTTGAGAATGCGTGCAATTCTGGCAGAGAACCAAAGCTGGCTTCCCAGCATCCACAGTGGGCAGCTCACACTCACCTGTCACTATGCCCCCAGGGGATCTGACACCTTCTTCTGTCCTCCACAGGCACCTGCACTCACGGGCACAAGCCAGCACAGAGACATGACTACATATACACATAACTACAAAAATAAAGAATTGAAAATTGAAATTAGGGTGGAGGACAACAGAGGAGAGCATCCTGGAGTCAGCCTTTGGCCTCCGCATGCACCAGTGAGCAAATGCATCTGGACACACACATGCACATGTACAGAGACATACGTGGCCTTGGGAGGCAAGGCCAGTGGGTCATTATGAATTGGAGGCCAGCCTAGCTACAGTGTGCTTCAGGCAAGCCTGGCTGCACAGTGAGACTCCATCTCATCAAACAAAAGAACTCCTATGCATGGGACCCCCTGTATCTTTTTTTTCTCACTTGACTCATTGTTTTCTTTCTTCTTGTCCTTTAATATGTAATCTGAGACAGTCATCATAAAAGTTCTGATTTATTTTTTTTTAACAAAATAAAAGCATTGTCCATTTATCTACAAGTTTAATTAACTGACTTGTCAGAGATTTGCCCAAGTCGTATGAACTGGAAGGCTTCTGGGAGAGGGAGACCTTAACAGCTTCACTTGATGTGAGAACTCACCTCTCCAGGAGTTTATGTAGTGTCTTGTGAACAACATACAAACATACACATGCATGCAGGTTGAATAGCTAATTGCACGTGCATGTTGTCATACATACATAGAAATAGGCCCCCAGATCCAAAGATCATTTTGCTCATTCTTTGATAGTTTACAGTTTAGACTGTTGGGCAGGTCTGTCTGGGGAAGTCCTTTTGATGTGGCTTGTTTCCCCGTTCAGACCAACTCCTTCAACAAGTAAGTCAAAGGGTGTTGTCTGTGTCTCTCCAGCCTGAGAAAGCCCCTCACCCTCATCAGAGCAGAGAGCCTAAAGGTGTTGGGAGTCCCAAAGGTCAAGTGAGACTTTACAAATCAAGGATGCCTTCAATCGTGACATTGGAGGAATTTCTTCATCCATACAGGCACTTCCCCTACAGATGTCCACTCAAGGATGCGCTTGTGCCCCTTTTTCATTCGAGTTAAAATTCAGGACTCTAGAATATGAAAACTGACTGTGCAGATTACAATGGACAGGAGAAACAGCTTTTAAAAGAGAGAAAATGCTGAGTTAAGGCAGGACATGTAGATAAGCCTTGGTCAGGATGTGTAGGTGATGGTGATAGGCCGTAATGAAGAAGCCAGCGGCAGAATACATACATTACCTGACCCAGATCTCAAGGCAGGAAACACTCCAGGGAAGTACTCACAGGGCCACCAGCTCCCAAGTTCTTATGAGGAGCCACCACAAGTTGTGGCAGAGATTTCTCTCCGCCTGCCAGAAACAACCCTCCATGGACTGAGGGGTCCTCAAAACAGAACACTCGCCAGTCCTTCAGACACGAGCTTCTGTGGCTGAGAGGCCTTCACAACAGATATCTCTCCACCTCCCAGATGTGAGTCCCAGGCCCCCTAAAGGTCACATGCTCCTCACAGTCTATGACTTTGGGGGCAAGCATCTTTACCTTATCTACTGTAAGTACCAAAAAAAACCCAACCCCTCTTTTTCTTTTGTCTATATGGTTAGTTTTCTTTATTCCCAGGTAACGCTATAAATGGAGAGTGGGAAAACCCCTGTATATAGGAGGTGTCTCAAAAGCTGCTGAAACCTCCTCCATTATCCATCCTCCAGTATCCTAAATGCAGAGCTAGCTTGCCATGGACAGTCTAAGTCTCTTCCTCTGCTGTCTCTTCTCCTGGCTGTCTTGCCAAAAATGTTACCAGAATCTGGAGGTGACTAAACACCACTTCACAGGGGGAAATAGGAAACAAAGCTTGATTCAAGGAAATATTCCATTTAAAGTCTTGGCTGGAACTAGAGGAAGAAAAAACTCTATATCCTTCTTTTGCCTTACTTGTGTGGTGTCTGAGACAAAAGCCAAGAAATACACATATTGTAGGTCTGGCTTCAAGGTGCATTACCAGAACTGAGATTAATCCTCTTTTGGAAGATGGCTTTCTCCTCTGACACCAGGGCTTTCAACTAGTCTCATTCCCAGCATGAGGTTTCCTGGGGACATCTTAATTCCATGGGGACTCTGTTACACTGTTATAGCCAGGCTCACTGGAAATCTCTAAGGCTGAATGCCAGCTACATGACATTTTCTTAGTTGTCAGCCATACTTGCAAATTGCTGTAGATGTCATGGAACAAATAATGCTTTGAGTGACTTAATTTGGAAAAGTCTGGGGTAACAGAACAAAATTAGCACGAAGTATGCAAGACCTAGGTTCAAATCTTGTCTTCACCCCTATAATGACAGCTAAGTCACATGCTTGGGATGTTAGTGTCTTAACATTACCACAGGCAAAGCAATGATATTGTTGTCAATTTGTGCAAATGCTTGTCTTCACACTTACCTAACCAAGCTACACAGAATGCATGTCTTAAAATTTATTAATTTAGGTGATTCTCTAGACCAGGGATCCAGGCACTGCTACCAAGCCTTTGAGCTATGACATGACTGGGACCCTTCAAGACTGGACTCCATCCATCAGCTAGAGCTATGATGGACAGTCTTAGACTTGATGCTCATTACCACAGTGTAGCCCAGGCTCAGAGACAGGAACAAGGCTCAAAATAAAGAGGTATCTTCTTGGTGTAGATACACTCCACCATCGGCATCCAGAGCCCAACACAGGGTTTTCAACAACAGCATAATAGAATAGCCAAAGCCAAAAATAAAGAGCTGATCAAATAACGTTGATTTTCAGTCTTTGAGTGCGTGGTAGGTCAGGGTCTCTTGAATCCACATCCCAAAGATACTTCTGCTTCCTCTGGGAAGCATCCTGTAGGAGGGTGAGGGGCGGAAGTCAAAGCCATGGCTATACCTTTCGATCGTATTTCCAGAGCTTCCCAGCACAGCAGTGCTCCACAGAGCACCAGGGAAAGCATCAACGCAAGGGGAGCTCAGCTCCGTTGCCTTTATGGGAGGCTCAATGTCTGTCCAATGCAGCTATGAAGGCTCAGGGTTCCTGGAGGCCCCTGCCCACTCTGACAGCCTTGATAGAGGACACTCATATACAGGAGAGAGGGTTTTCTCGGGCACATGCACTTTATCTGTGGGCCCAAGATGAACATTTAAAGGTACCCACTAGATTTTTCCCAGAATGCTGACTGAAGCACTGCTTGCAAGGTATAGGATGCTACCCAAGAAGAGATACCCAGATTTGACATAGGAGATTGTTATTCTGCCCACTCATCACCAGTCAGCATTCTTGGGGAACTACCAGAAAAACATGAAATTAAACAGCTTCTTCTTTAGAGCCAGGTGTTCACAAATCAACCCACATATATCTCTCAGTCTTTTCCTACTGCTTCAGACTATTTTTTTAAAGGAACATCAAGCACCCCAATAGGCATCTCATTTTACAGCTGATAAAGCTGGGGCTCAGAGGGACTGTCTCACAAGGCACTCAAAACTTCTTTCCTCTGATAATTAGCTAACCCTTTACCCCACCACTGGCTGACATGCCCCTCCCTTCTCTCCAGGTAAACTGTATGATGAACCATTTGAGGTTGACTACATCTTGGGAGAGGACTTCCATGTGAATGAGGATGTGACCGGGAAAGTACCCATGATCAACTGCCAGGGTAGACTTTTTTTTTTTTTTTTTTTTTTTTTTTTGCACAGTGAGGAAGAGCTGTCCAGCTGGGTGTTGGTACAGCATTATACGGGCGATGCTACTGCCTTCTTCATGTTGCCTTACCAAGAGAAGATGAAGAACCTAAAGGAAACCTTGGCTCAAAAACACTTTGAAAAAATCTTACGGTTAATTGACACAAGGTGATTTCCCAGTCCAGGATGCCAGGGACTGCTACACAGCCTCTGAGCCATGACATAACTGGGGCCCTTCAGGACTGGGCTTCATCCATCCATCAGCCAGAGCTTACAGACAGACAAAGTGCTCATTAATGTGGGATAAGAGAGGCTCAAAGACAGGAACAAGGCTCAGAATAAAGTCTTCTCTTTGGTACAGACACATTCCATCTTCAGCATCCAGAGCACAGCACAGGATTTGCAACAACAGCACATGTAATGGCTGAAGCAAAAAACGAGGAGACAGGTCTCAGGCCTCAGCCAGAAGTGGTCAAGGTGAAGAGTTCATGGGTGACAAGAGAGGAAGGGCTTAGAACAAGAAAAGGCCAGCTGCAAAGAGCTCAGGGCATGAGTATAGAAGGTTCTGTCCCCGTCACTCTTCAGTGAGGTTTATTGGGTCCCAGGGAGCCAACAATTCTGAAATGTGCCTCTCCCCTCTTCAGATCAAGTGAGCCTGTGCTCAGTCAGGAAATCCAGGCCATGCTCTTCCTTGGGTTAGGAAGATAATGATTCACACCTCAAGTGGGCCTGAGGTGAACTGGGGACAGAGGTTCTGTCTCACCTCCCAGCCCAAACCTGCTGAGGCCCACAACACAGCAGAAAGCAGAGTCAAGCAGGGTGAGGATGAACTGTGACAGCTGGCTTATTCCCTTAGCATAGAACCTCCAGGAACCTTGCCTTATCTATGGAAACTGAAGGCCAAGCCTTAGTTAGCATGAGGAGTCATAGAGTCTCAAGTCAGAGTCACAAGTCTCAGAACACACCTGAATCTCACTGGAGGGCTTCCTGGGCAAGGGTGAGTAGTCTTCTAGAAGGTGCTAGAATGATACCATACTATTGATGCCACCATGACACAAAGTAACTCTTTCATGTTTTCCTGCATACCAGGACAGTGGACCTGCACTTTCCCAAGTTGCTTATGTCCACAACTTATGACCTGAAGACTATTCTGAGCACACTGGGCATTACCCAGATCTTCAGCAATGAGGCTAACCTCTCAGGGATCACAGAGGATGCGCCCCTGAAGCTCAGCAAGGTGAGGTCATGTGACAGTGGCAGCATCTCAGCTGTTGATAGCGCTGAACAGAATGTGAGGATGGATCAGACATGAAGCTGAGGAAGGCGATAAGGGACAGAGACTCAGACTACAGAGATGTGCCATGGTAAATTCAGGATCAGAGAACAGAGGCAGGATAACATACCATATGCTATCATAAAGATCTGCTTGAATGGGACTCAGTGACCCTTAATTTTATCTTTGCGCAGGGCTGTTGATTCCTTGGGACTCAATTAACCTATATTTATATAGAAAGGTGGTTCAGATCACCTTCAAAATTTTGTCTTGCCATGCACTGGAAAGAAAACATATCTACAGGAGACATGAAGAACAAAAGGGGGCTCTGAAGCCAAATGCCATATCCAAGGCTATGAGAGGTGGTTCATGAAAGGAGCAGAGAAGAGGGTCATCCGAGAATGAAAGGGCTGAATGCAGAGGAAGGCCTCTTTGACCACTAGACTTGAATTGGCAATGGATAAGACATGACCACATTGAGGCTCTTCATGGATGAGGCATCCACATGGATCCCAACTTCAGCCTGGGGTGAGTATAACATACCCAAATTTTCCCTCTTTCTCCCCCTATAGGCTGTGCACAAAACTATACTGACCTTTGATGATGACGTCATAAAAACTTCAAGGAACACTATTTGGAGTAAGATGGATTTGACTGGGATTCCTGTTATCAGATTTAACAGGCCATTTGTAATTGTCACCAAAGAGGAATATACCAATTCCATGCTCTTTGTGGGAAAAGGGAATAATCCTACAGAAAACAGTTGATTTCAGATTCCAGTCATCCTCACCATCCTGTTCCAGCCATTTCCCCTCCCTGTTGACGTTAAACATTGGATAGCTTCACCCATGCCTAGGCACAACCAGCAAAGCCCTCTCCTTGTGGTGTCTGTGTCTTCCTCTACTCCCTGAGGTATGTGCTGACTGCAGGTCATAGGACATCTCAGGGTCCCCTGCATCTGGGTTTAGGAGATCCCCATGATGTCACATCTCCAACACTGAAGAGGAGAGAGGGGGTCATGTCCCCTTCTGAGTGTTTCCTGAGAATAGCTGGAGGAGATGGTAGAGCTCTTCTTCCTCAGGCTAGAGCAAGACCCCAGTATCTGTTCCTGTCATCCCTTCCCTGCCAGAGGGGATGTACACATCCTCCAATGAACAGGAATGTCTCTAGACCTTAGCCTTTTTCTTCTTCTCAAGCCAGTAAGACCACTATGCCCAAAGTCACTCCCTCTGTCCTCTCTAGTCTTATGCCCTTTGTACATGAATGCATCTAGAGGTCTTTAGAAGGGCTAGGAAAAGTAGCTCCTCCTCTTTTCCAGAACCATCTAGCCCCTCCTCTCCACCAGGCACCACAGAATAGGTGGACCTGCCTCTTGGAGGCTCCACCCCTCACATGGGCAAAGCTGGAGAGCTGGTGGGCTAACCATCCCAGCTCCCATTCAGGCCGAGCTCCAGTGTTTTGAGTTGGCCCACCCCAACATCTACCCCATCTATGAACTGCTGAAGTGCATGAAGGGACGAGTCCTGCAGAACCA